GGGCCCGGCCCCCACGGGTGGGCCTCAGGTGACCCTCACCGCAGCCACGTCGGCCTCACGCGCCTCCTCCGTGTGCTGCTCCCGACCCTTTGCCCAGGGCGAGTCCCCAGAGCGCCGCCGTGGTGGGGGAGAGGCCGCTCTGAGCTCGGATGTCAGGGACCCTGGCCCAGACGCTCTCTGCCCGCCTACCTTGCTCGTTTTTTTCCATCGCACTTTACACTCCCTGAAATTGTGGTGTTTTTTTCTTTTAATTTATGCTTATGTATTGATTGTCTTTCCCAATAGAATGTAAGCTCCAAGGGGGCAAGGTCTGGACTCTCTAACTCACCGTGTTGTCCCCACTGCCTAGAAAAGCGCTTGGGACATGGTAAGTGCTTAATAAATATTTGTTGACTAAATCTGAAAAAAAGGAATGCATCAAATGAGTAATCAGAGAAGGCTTCCTGGAAGAGGTGACATTGAGCTGAGGCCTTATGCTTGTGGCAGAAATATCTCTGAACATCTAGAGAGAAGGCGGTTCCAGGCAGGGGCAATAGTAATTGCCAAGGCCCTGAGGCTGACCTTCTTCTGCATGGCTGCGACTGGGTGACCTAGGGGAGAGCTTAGGAGATGAGGTAGGAGACGTGGGTGGGGCAGATCACAGAGGGCCTGGCAGGCCCTGGCAAGGAGCTGAGATTTTATCCTGTGTGTTTTAAGCAGAGGACTTGCATATCTGGTTTGCCTTTTGGAAAGCTCGGTCTGGAAGGAGTGTGGACAGTGGGTCGTGGGGACGAGGCAGTTAGGAGAGAGTGGAGGTCAAAGAAACAGACCCACACTGCATGGCACAGCGACGGCTCAGGCGAGCTGGATGTTCTGTCCCTGAGGCTTCACGGAACTGAATGAAATCTCCGAAGACCCGGACCCAGAACTCTCCGCTCCCGCAAGCAGGGAAGCATAGAGGTGGATAAAATCCCCTCACTCTGCTCTCTCAGTTCCCCTTCCTCCAGCCACAGGTCTCAGCTGGCAAGCCGCTTCCTCAGCAGCTCTCCGGCGGCTACCTCCCCACTGCTCTTCTGCCCTGTGCCACCCAGATCCCTCTTCAGGGAAGGGCTTGTTTCACCAGCCACAGGGAGTGCCGACAGCCGGCGGCCCGCAGCCCCCAGGGATCCACCTGGCCCAAGGTCGCACCCCTGTGGGGGTGGTCCTGATGACTATCGCGACAGGAGTATAAGTCTGGCCATCTCCGCTCATGGGCTGTTCTAGCCCCAGGAGTCCCCATGGGGCCAGTCGAAGCTGTCACGGGACATGGCTCAGTCCACTCCTGCTTCCTTCCCGTCCCTTGCACAGGAGTTCATCTCAAGGGAGCTTCCTAATAAATGTACTGAACGCTGAGCTCCATCTGAGGGTCCGTGACAAGCACAGCATTTAAATGAGAGGCGCTCTGGGGTGGTGTGGAAAGAGCGTGTCCTTTACCGGATTCCTCCACTGGACAGACACCCCCAGAGCACCTGCCACGTGCCAGCTGTGGCCCTGGGTGCCGGGGTGCAAGCTGGCGTTCTAACTGGAGAGGCCAGCGGGTGAGCCCCGATCACGGGGCAGTGTGGTCGAGGAAGTAGAGGCTGCTCTGGGAATACGAAGGAGGACTTTGGAGCTCTGGAAAGTCTCCCGGGGACAGTGACGTCTCCTCACAGATGGGTGGGTGGACGCTAGGCCAATCTGTGAAGCGGGGCATGGAGGAGGGTCTCCAGCTGAGCACACAGCATGTGCAAAAGCCTGGAGGAAGAGCACCAAACGTGTGAAAGAGATTACAATGGCTCAGACCTGGGTTTCCCACCTGGCTCTGTCGGGGTGTGTGACCCTGGGTGGGGTGAATTGACCGCGTGCTGCTTCTCCCGTTAACATGGCCCTGGGACTTGCCTTGACCATAGAATGCAGTGGAAATGATGCTGTCCTGGTTCAGGCTGGCCGTGGGAGGCCAGGCAGCTTCTGCCTCCCCTGTGCAGAGAGTATAGCTGCCCTGTTGGAGAGCAAGGCCCACCGGCCCCAGTCGTTCTGGCCACCAGCGGAGGCTGTCTTGGACGTGCCAATGGCTCTGCTTTAACAGACCATGTGGAACAGAAATGAGCTGTCCCACGGAGCCATGTGCAAAATGCAGATGTGGGAGCAAATAAATGGTTGTGGTTTTAAGCCACTAAGTTGTGGAATGCCCTGGATACCAACAGAGAGATGATATACTAGGCCCTTGGAACCTCGGTTTTGCTGTTGGTAAAATGGGATTAATAAGGCTGAGTGTCAGGGTTGTGATGAAACTTAGGGCCAGTGAGTGTACCCTCTCAGGAGTGACCGACTCTGTACATTCGAGGTGACTGCACGCCTTCTCTCCTCTCCTGGATTCTGACTCTCTTAAGGGTAGGATCTGGGAATGCCCACAGAGACTGCATCGGCGTCATGCCGTGTGAACTAGAATGCACATCCCTGCTGTGACTCATCGTGTTGCAGGGCGCAGTCAGGCCCCATCTGGACCCCAGTGGCTTCCAGTCCAGTGAGGAGAAGACAGATGTGCAGGAGACGGCATACCAGTCCCTTTTTTTATTTTGTAAATATCCACAATCCACTTTCGGTGGAAATTGACTTTTTCTCTGTGCCAGCCCTGGTGCCATACACTGGGATCTCCCAGTGCTACGAAGTAGGCACATCACCCATCTTACAGATGAAGAAACTGAGGCTCAGGAGGCTGAATGCCACAGCTGGGTTTTGAGGCCAGAAGTGAGAGTTCAGGGCCTGTGCTCTTTGGCTACCATTCCTTCCTAAGGCACCGCATTCCTGTCTTGGCACAAGACTGGGCAAGTGTGCTGTGATCAGATGTGTGTCTGCACCCAAGGAGTAGCCCAGGCCCCCACGAGGCCCCTGGTGTGCAGGGATTTGCTCCTGGGGAGAGCCTCTCCCAGAGACCCCGTTACCCTAACAGGCTTGGCAGACAGTGAGTTGCCAAAACACAGAGTGTGCAGTGTTCTCAGGCTGGAGGCCGGGCGGCCCTCGCTGCTGTGCACACTGCCCAGGTGGAGAAATGGGGTGGGCCCAGGGCTGGCAGGAGGGAGCCCTCCCAGACTTGGTCACTGGCCTGCCAGGCCCTCTACAGTACCTCAGACCCTGATTGGTGCCGAAGGGCAGGAGATAGGCAGGAAGCGCCCATCTGCTGAGCCCCAGCTCCGCACAAGCGTTGATATAATTAACGCATTCTGTCCCCACTGCACCCCTGCAGGGTTCAGTGTGATTCCCCAGGAGAGAAAACAGAGGCTCTGAATTCTGGGGTGACTTGCCCAAGGTGAGGTGGCTGAGATTCAAGATTTGAATCCAGGCCATCTGACTCTGGACCTCCATACTCAGTCCTCTGTTTTGGTACAGCCCCTCGACACCCAGGCTAGGCCAGGGCATGGGTGAGGCAGCTGTGCAAAAGATTCTGGCCCAACCTTGACCACACCCAACCTGCACCAGACAGCTGGGGGCGGCTGGGGTCTCTGAGACTCTCAGGAGCTGACAGCCCTACTGGGAAGGCACTGATCTTCCTGGAGTCTTTGTCCCCACCAGGCTCTGGAATCTTCTAGGCAGGGGCCATGTCCTCCTCCGAAATGCGTCCCCTGCACCTGGCACAGGGTCATCACAGAGAGGCTACTTATGAGCTGCTCATTCAATTTGACTGACCTGAAACACAATGCCAGATGAGGAACAGTGTGTGCCAAGGTGCAGAGGGAGAAAGAGTGTGGTTCTCCAGGAATACAGTTAAGGCTGAGCCATGGGACAGCCCGCTAGAGTAAGAAGGGGCCAAGTGACCTCTGACTTCCGGGGAGTGGACTGGCCATGTCGCCTTTGGCAAGTCACTTAACCTGTCTGTTGCCGATAGTGCAATGGACATTTATTGAGGCGTGCTCTTGGGGTCAGCAGCTGTCGAGGAGTGAGGGAGAGAAGGATTGGGGAGAGAGGCGAGTTAAGCTGTAAGACCTCAGTGGATCCTGTAAAAGCTCTGGGGCCAGGATGGGCCACAGAGTTGTCTAGAATTTGGGCAGGGGAGTCAGGCCTTTGTATCCTCACACTGACCAGTCACGGTCAGAGGCAGGTTTCCCCTGGGGAGGGGACGTGACTTTGGGCAAAGCGACTCAGAGCGGGGGCGAGTCCTGGAGAGGGCCCAAGTCGGTGCTATCAACTGCCAGTGCCCCCCTGAGGGCCTCGGCGCAGGAGGGGACACCTTGGCTGGGCATGGCAGCACCCACCACACTCCCCGAGCTGAGTCTTCATCTGTGGGATGAAGGCGATGCCTGCTCTTGGTGCTGTTGGGAGGACTAAGGGGGACAATGCGTGAGCCTGCAGGGCACTCTCTGCCACCCTCCCTAAAGACTTTGAGCTTTTCAGCTGCACATCACCAGTCTAATTTTTTTTTATTGCAGTAACACTGGTTTATAACATTGTATAAATTTCAGGTGTACATCATTATACTTCTATTTCTGCGTAGATTACATCATGTTCACCACCCGAATACTAATTACAACCCATCACCACACACATGTGCCTAATCATCCCTTTCACCCTCCTCCCTCCCCCTTCCCCTTTGGTAACCACCAATCCAATCTCTGTCTCTATGTGTTTGTTTGTTGTTGTTTTGATCTTCTACTTATGAGTGAGATCATACGGTATTTGAGTTTCTCCCTCTGACTTATTTCACTTAGCATAATACCCTCAAGGTCCATCCATGTTGTCA